TTTGGCCTAAACGGGTATGTACCGCCCAACTGGGTATAGTTTAATTTCGAGGTCTTCAGTTTTAAATAGGGCATACAATTTCACTATTAACCGTTTTGAACAGGTTGTTTCTGGACTGGAAGCCTTAAAACAGGGTCTAAACGTTCTTCAGTTTTAAATAGGGCATACAATTTCACTATTAACCGTTTTGAACAGGTTGTTTCTGGACTGGAAGCCTTAAAACAGGGTCTAAACGTTGTCAATGCACCGCCTCTATGCCAAGTGCCAACTAAAACAAAAAATCCACTCTATTCAGTACAAGAAATGAATCCGGGTAACGAGGAATTGTATCTTGTATTAAACAGGATAGTGAAATGAAGAGATAACTTGTTAAACAGGAACAGTGTTTGAAGGCCTCGGCGGCACGCCGCTACCCATGCACCCCTTAAGTGCTCCCCTCTCAAGTTGAGTGACCTCAGGGAGTGCTTTATCAAGAAAAATCCTTGATTATCAGCTACATCTATTACTAAAGGAATTACAAGCAGAGATCTGTATAAGCACATACGCCAGTAATCAGTAATGAAATCAAACCTGGATAGAAACTAGAGAGCAAGATGATGGCTAGTAACAGGCAGGCAGTATAAAGCTGTTGTTCCTTATAAGAGTGGGATAGTTATACGACATCGGGTTTTTTTCACAAGAGTCTCCAAGGACGGAATAATAAGGAGTCTCATGGAGGTTAGGAACTTCACTTTCACCGCCAAAAAAAGGAAAAAGACAAAAGCGATGCTGCTAAGCGTCAGCAAAAAATAAATCCTTCCGTTTGTCGAGTCTCTTTACATACTTAGCACATCAATTATCCTCCATCTGTGGAGGCAAGTCTGACCTGTTTTATTAAAAAAGGTCATTTTGAGTTCCGATGAGAAGAAACTAGCTTTGTTCAAACACTTTATAAGACGATTATTAACCCAACTTGAAACTGAATCACACGACTTGCCAATGACGACTGGTGGTCATCGAAACCAGTCGAAATGTTGTGTTTCTACGTTGTTTGAAGCAGAGACTGGTGGTGAAAGAAGGCAAACATCAAAGATAAAAACAACGAAGCTGTAAGTTATGTTGGAAGCTTCCTGACGGTGCCCATCCTTTGTTTTATTGTTATAAGCACAAATTGTGACAAAATAAATAAGTGCGACGGTTTTTATGGCTAATGAGATCAAAACGATAAGAATGCTACTGAACGATGTGCAAAGTCCACAAAAACAAAGTCTAACGGCCTTCATAACCATTCCACTCGATTAATAACGTTTTTTTACGTTAATCTTCTAATCTTCTATTTGTCGTTTTGTTTCACTGATATATTGAACACGCGAAGCAACATATATGTATATGTTGTGGTTCAATTTTATCCTTGGTTTAAATTTTATTTGCCTTTGTTTTAAACTCATTATCATACACTACCAAACCCCAAAACAATGGGAAATAACATTTAAACAAGAGCCATAATGGGACGGCTCTTGCATTTAAACCAAGAATAAAATTGAACCAAAACATATATTCTTTCTTATCATGTTACCATATCTTCTGAGTCGTAGCTATTTAATTGAATCGATGTTTTATTCGTCCTCCTTTATCGCCTCATTAGCATAACAGAAAGAAATGAAATTGAAACTCCAAATGGTACGATGCAATCAAATTTCATTTAACGTTTGTGAAGAGTGCAACTTGCGTTGCTTGGGGCAACGGAATGAAGCCGACGCCTACTCTCTCCAAGGCCACATTTTAGAGGGTTATAATTTATCATAAATATTTTCAATCATAGATCTTTTATATTTCTTGCATGAATTAGAATTTAAAAAGGGAAAAAATACAAAAAAAAAAACACTTATAAGTAGGTATGTTATCTAGAGTCGCTTCAAACCTTTCTGACCTTTGATAAAAAGCCAAAACTGTAGTTAAGATTTTCACGAATGTTGCTTAGGTTTGCATTTGAACATCTCACAGCATATTATTATTAGGGAGCCATTAATTAAGCGCAAACAAAACTTTGCACGTTAACACAAGACAATGTTTTCTTTTCTCACCAAATTCGATGCGATACTTAAGAATTCAATTCCAAAAAAATCACCAACATTTGACAAATTTGACCAAGGGATTAATTTTGGAAAAGGTGGGAGGAATTAACTTCTTCAGAGACGTCGTCGTCACTTAAACGCCCTTAACTACACATCAAGAAGTCACTTCCGTCACGCAACTGAGGAAGGGCAGCCGAGAGGACACTGGAAACAACCTGATGGAAGCTTTCAAAACAACATGGCGCCCAAGAAGCGAGTAAAGCAACAAAGTGCTCAGAAAAACCCGACAAAGAAGTCCGAAGACCCTGACTACTTGAAAAAAGTCGACCCCATACTGATGAAAAATATCAAGCAGTTGACTGCCGGGCGAAGCAATCTTCTGATTTTCGTGCCAATGTGTGGCAAGACTCCCGATATGTTGTGGTTAGCTGAACAGGGTCACGCGATCACCGGTGTGGAAATCAACGCTCGCTACATCAAGGCTTTCTTCCGCAACGCGGAGCTAGAATACACTCTCCGATCAGAACAATTTACGCCAAAGAAGAAAGTGAACGTGTACGAAGCGAAGGGCAAGGATATTACTTTGTATCAGTGTGATATCTTTGATTACAACGTGGAGGTTTCAGGTCAGTTCGACGCCATCTGGGATCAGTCTGCCATTCCTATAGTCAATGATATGGGGGCCAGACGACTCAAACAGTACACAAGCCTAATGCAGGCGCTACTGAAACCTGACGGACGCCATATGGTAGAGGTGTGCAAACATGGGTCGAACTTCGTAGACGAGAAGATGCTCAAATCATTGTTTGGAGATAAGAGCGATGTTCGTTATTTAGGTAACAACCTTACTTTCTGTCACACTTTTAAACATGGCATGAAAACATAAGTAAGCGCATACAATTGAGAAAACAATGAAAAAAAAAAGAAAGAAAAAAAAAACAACGCAATATTATTCAATTAATTTGTACTTTTGTTTCGAAATTTCAATAGCAGGTAAAAGANAGAAGAAAGTGAACGTGTACGAAGCGAAGGGCAAGGATATTACTTTGTATCAGTGTGATATCTTTGATTACAACGTGGAGGTTTCAGGTCAGTTCGACGCCATCTGGGATCAGTCTGCCATTCCTATAGTCAATGATATGGGGGCCAGACGACTCAAACAGTACACAAGCCTAATGCAAGCGATACTGAAACCTGACGGACGCCATATGGTAGAGGTGTGCAAACATGGGTCGAACTTCGTAGACGAGAAGATGCTCAAATCATTGTTTGGAGATAAGAGCGATGTTCGTTATTTAGGTAACAACCTTACTTTCTGTCACACTTTTAAACATGGCATGAAAACATAAGTAAGCGCATACAATTGAGAAAACAATGAAAAAAAAAAGAAAGAAAAAAAAAACAACGCAATATTATTCAATTAATTTGTACTTTTGTTTCGAAATTTCAATAGCAGGTAAAAGATTCATTCCCCTGAGGGCGAAGGGGTGAACGCTCCATCCAGTCCACCTAACCGTTAACAACTGCACTCCCCATTTTAAGCAAAATCTCACACTATTGTTTAGTTATCATTAATTATACATCACCTACGAGAGAGTTCGGGACTTAGCGATTGGAAGCTCGACTTATATCACAGTTAAAAGGTACTCGCACTGGAAGCAAAAAGTTTAAATTGGCAAAATCAAAAACCGACTGGTCTCAAGTTACTGGAACTGCACCATGTGTTATCCACTGGATGAACGTCTATCAACTAGATAACGCATTTGGTTTCCCAAAAACTTATCTGCTGGATAGTGTTTAACACAACCAGGCCATTGGTAACAAGAATTTCTTAAAATTAACGTATTTTATCTTTGTTGCTGATTTCAATGAAACTCCCTTGAATTTGTTTGATTGAAAGCAGTGATATTATAAAGATTATGGTCGTCGGGGTTCATAAGAGAGGGGGGAGGGGGTGGGGAGGGTGCACAGAGACACCAAATCACGCCCCGCTTTTTTCATGATGAACGCAAGTATTTTCCAAGTACAATAGTTTTGCCTTTTTTTTTCAACGCTAATCAAGCGTCGACGAATAGTTAACTTTTCAGTAAACGTTTCGCGAAATAGGAACAAGAATTTGGAAGTACGACCCGGAGGAATTCGCGGAAGAGGAATGCGACGAAGGAGAGGAGGTCACGAGACACAGGCATCACGAACACGAGCACGAATCACACGGACACGAGGAACACGGACATGGTGATCACGGAGATGAGGAAGGGGAAACGGAGATGTTTTACCACCTGATTACATTCAAGTAAGACACAAGTTAATTATTATTTTTAACTGCATAGATGGGAGTAGAGTTTTGCCGTGGCTCATGCCAGATTGCAACACAGCTGTATGCAGCTGGTCATATGGAAGGTCTGGGCCGAGTTTGAGAATAGAGAGTGAGTCTGGAGACGGAGAGTTAGGCAATTTTCACACTATAAAGTGTTTTCACTCACGTGGCCAGCATCTATGCAAATTTATTGGAACAAAAGAAAGCGTTTGCATAAGAAAAAAGTTCAACTCCCACAGGACTGGTTTGGGACACCAACATGGCCGCCGTTTCATTGTTTTGGGACACCAATATGGCCTCCGTGACGTCATGAGAAAACACTCTATACCGGAAAACTTTTGGCGTGGACACGAAAAGATATCGCGGATGGTATGAACGGCAACGGCAACGGCAACGGCAACGGCACAGAACTGGAACAAGTCCTTCACACACATCGAACATCGTGCCGGAGCGGTTGGCCGAGAGGGTTTGGCGACCTAAATCCTAGCCTCCCACGCAAACTTTCTTTTGGCAGGTCACGCAAGCCTCTCCAACGTGGGATAGGAACGCGCGACGAATTCCTAAGACTACTGCGCGGGAGGCTACCTAAATCTCAGTTCTCACTCCTGCATATTTACTTCCATCTCACTGGTTTCCAGGCCTCGCTCTAGCCTGCGTAACTGGCGGGATTGTTTTGCCCGGGATACTACAGCACTCGTCCGCTAATCCAGGTACGCAGGCTATCATCGCTCCTACTTATTCACTTCCGCGACGGTCCGACTACCTGTTTACACTGCACCAAAAGGGTTACAGAACCTCTCCAATATGTGTCGCACCACTTTAACGATCGGCGCAGCGCAGCTTCGCTTCGTTAAGGTCGGTACACACTTGGCGACAAGTTGCAGCAACAAATCGCGGCGACACGTCTTAGCGACAAATCGCTTCGTACGTACTGGAGAATTTTTGTCTCTGCAACGAAATTTTGTGGCAGCAACAAGTCGCACAAATTCTGTCTGATTTGTTTTTTGAACAAAATTATGTTGCGGACACGAAGATTTTCACAAAAATTATCCACTACGCACGATGCGATTTGTCGCTGCGACGTGTCGCCGTCACGTGTTGCTGTAACTTGTCGCCTAGTGTGTACCGACCTTTACAGAAATCGCGCCGCATTGCAAAAGTTATCCGGTATAGAGTAAACATAGCATTAGAAACATACCATCTTCGAGAACAAAGCGAATTCCAGCTAGTTTGTGTCCTGTGATGAGACCGCGTTCGCAAATCTCTTGGAAACCCTGAAATTCAAGCAACAAGAGCAACCGTTAGCATACGCGGCAGAGTAGAAATCCTCGTTTGTAACCTGTATTATTTAAATGCCTGATTTGAGGGAAAAAATTGCGAGAAATCAGTACCTTTTCTATGGCGGGGATAAAGTTTTTGGGGATGTTCATTCCAACAGTAGCATCTAAAAATTCGATATCAGTGGCGGCTTCCGGCATGGGCTGCGAAAAAAAAAGAACAGTCAGAGAAGTGATTAGCTTGTTACGTCACCTCTTCACGTCATAAATCATCCAGAATTCTACCGGGCGTTAAACAATGTGTCTTTAGAGGAGAAGCTTGGGTCTTACAGAAGAATCGCACTTGCATTTGAATAAGCTGTGCGACGCTTGTTACAGTTTTTTTCTTCCGAGATCTGTCATAAGCAGGACGACGTCTCTTTACAAACGCGTGCATCCTCGGAGAACTAAGAGACGGGATAGGAAGGGATGAGATTGGGATATTGGGAGACGGGATAGTTTCAGGGCAAATTAACGAAAGGTAATTCAACAAGAATTGGGGAGCTCCCGGATACTTACTCGTACTATGATCTCCCGCAGGAGGAAAATTAGCCGCTAAAATATACAGTTCATTCCTTCCAATGAAGACAGGTGCGAACGCTTCAAGACTAAAGTTTTAAAAAGGTCTCCGTAAAAACTATGTATGTCACCCCTTACGTATAGCATTTTTAAAGCTTTCCTTTCTTTAAAAGGTCTCTTTTTATTAAGGAGCATCCAGTTCACCTTCGTACTTTTGTTATTCTGTTTATTGCTTCGTTTTAGGGAGAAAGATGTACCAACGGAGAAAAGGAAAAGGAAGAACGAGGAATCCGAAAAGGAGAAAACATCCAAGAAAAAGAAGGCTGTCGAAGAAAAGGCAAAACCGAATAAGAAAGCTAGGAAGTAGATGGCTATTTTTGGCTAGAAGTGCCCAGAAAAAATTACAGACAAAATTCTTTTACATGTACGAGGCCACCCAGGATATTGGGACAAGTAGTCGTTTGATAAAAGAGTTAACAAAGGTTTGCCGTTCACAGTGATTTACTAACAATTTTGCCCGCTTTTTTCGTTTCTTGTCTTTCTACCCTTTACCAACACGAGTTTCCTGACAGATTGAAGTGGTTACGCCCGTATTACCAAACCGCGCTGTTCGGGAGATGGACTCAAAATTTGCAGTACGTATGTTGGAGTAATTATCATGAGAAGATTTTTTTTGTTTTCTGTTTTCCTACCCTTTACCCGCTCGATTTTCCGAATAGATTGAAGTGGTTACGCCCATAGTACCATCCCGGTTTGATGGAGAAATGAACTAAAAGTTTGCAGGACGTAGGGTGAATTAATAATGGTGGGGAGGGGGGGGGGGGGGGGGCGTCTAATAGACAGAGGGTGTTAATTAGAGAGTGGCGTCTGATACAAACACACCATCGTGGGAAACTGGCGTCTATTTGAGAGCGGACGTCAATTAGATCGTTTATGGGATGTAAGTAACTATGAAAACCCTCTTTGGAGACACGGGACAGCTACTCGGGACAGACGAGATATTAAGAGGGGAAACCACTGCAAATTTTACAAGAATAACGGGAGAGCCTCTAGGCACTTTACTTCGTTGAACCAGTTCAACAGGCATTTGAGTTCTCTGATTCTAATTGGCCAGCAATTAGTTTCTAGCCAATCAGAGCCAGGGAGGTCAAATGCTGCCGGCACTGGTTCGGTGAGGGGCAGAGCATTGAGCTTTTGAGTGGGGATTTGAGTAAGGTTGAGTGATTTCAGAGAAAATATCTTGCAAACAGAACTGAAATAAAAAGAAATCCCGCAAAGCCTTACAATGGCGTTACATTTACAACACCAACAACAACAAAAAAAGAGGTAAAAAAAACCCGACTACAGTAAACAGCTTGGGAAAATATCTTTTCCACCCCTCCACCCCTTAAATGTTAAACGGCCCGCCTCTAAATATAAATGGCCAGGGGATTTCTAGTCCTTCTTGTGATGAAGAATGAATCGGAGTTAGAATAACCGGTCCAAATTAGCAGTCCCAAGCTCTCAAATACAAGGTAATTATTATGTCACATAATAACTATGCAGGTAGTTCAATGAATCTGTCAACAGTAAAGACGTGGTTTTGATCCTGATGAGACAAGGGAGAGTACAGATATCTTAGCTAATAACATACAAATATGTCCCTATGGCAGCGTTCACACTTTGTGCGCGGGCACGGTGCCCGAGTACGGTACTCGCTGGGCACTAATGTGAACACACCCTTTTTTCAAGTACCCAAGCTAGAATTCCGGCAAGGTCAAGACTTTGTACTCAGGCACAAAAGTGGGCTTTGGGTCCCTGTGTGCACATAGTTTTTGTTAGTTCTGGGGCAGTCCACTGCTTTATAGTCACTCTAAGCTCATGATTCAAAATGGCGTCTGACAGGACAAAGTAGAGGACAGTTGGATTCAGTTGCATATCGAGTACTCAAAGTGTGAACACAACACTATTTCGTGCCGGTACCCAGTCACTGGTTCCCGGGCACTAAGTCTGGAAAGCCTCTTTAAGCGAGTCAGCGCTAAACCGACGCAATCACGGTATTTCTTCTCCACCCCTCAATATGGTTTGTGAGCAGCAAATGGAATATAGTGTAACACTTACTTCAATCCGGCCAATGACACGGCCAAACTGGCCTGCTCCTCCGGTCTGTTTCTTATGAAGATAGTCGAACCTGAAGATAAACAAAAAGTAAAGGTAGAAACTCCTTTCTCCAGTCCGTAAGCTTCAACTGTGTTGTTCTCCGGGGCAACCTACTCCGTTTCCAGGAACAATTAGTCGGTCGTTGACGTCATTAGCAGCAAAGACCGTGAAATTGTAAGAGATATCATTGTGGGAGAGCTTACGCAAACAGTTATATGTCGTTTATAATGTCGTGCGCTTTGCTGCTAAGGTCGTCAAAGGTTGAAACGTTGCAAGTGGAAATGGAGCCAGTTGAACCTTTTGTAGCGTAAGGGCATGCTAAAAGCTAGCCTGCGAGCAAAATCTTCTCGGGTCCCCGGGGTACGGGGGTGAGGGCAGAGTGCCTGCTTCCTATTACTCATAAAGGACATTGACGAATGTAGTAAGTCAATTAATTGAAAAAGGAGAATTGGGGTAACATTTAATTCATACCTAGCCTCCTTGCCTATGGTTTCTCTAAAAGCAACTTTGGGTTTTCCTGCGACGACCGGGCAGTTGTACTCGGTACGCATCCTCTGCGATGTGAAAAAGAGAGCAGAAAACAATTTTACCCAAACGTCAATAAATAAGTCAAACATCAGTGTCAAAAAGTCAAACAAAGAACAACAACACATAATAAGGAGCTTAAGCAAAGACGGCAAAGAAGTGTTCAAAAAAGCGTGATGCACGAGCAGAGTTGTTGTTTTCCTTATCTAAATCTATTACTATTTTGCCGTTTTCGTGGTCGTTGATCCGGCACTCCCTAATCCGGCACTCCAGAGTCCATTCTAGTGAGCAGTCACAATGACACGAGGTCGAGGGTGGGCAAGAGGTCGAGGCTCGAGTGGACAAATAAAAAAAAAAAAAATGTTTTCTGTCCACCATAGCCTCGAGTCGGCTGCCTTTGTTCACAGAAAGGCGGGAAAGGCGTTCCGGACCATGCGTTTTCATACCTCTGTATAAACCTCAAGGTGAAGCTCTCCCATTCCTGAAATGATAGTCTGTAGAACAAATAAATTGAGACAATTCTTTGAACATATAGCCAGAAAAATATTCGCTTTTACAGCTGACGGTTTCAATGCCAGATAGCCATCTTTTACAAAACTGAACGGCAGAGGTGCTCTCGGCAGGCAACCGAGGCGGGACAAGCTCAGTAGGTAGAGCGCTGGAATGCATAGAGGGCGGTTGCGGATTCGATCACCAGGGTCGAACCAATACTCAGGATCTTAACCCTTTGGGTCCCAAGAGTGACCAACATCAATTTTCTCCTAATAACATCAGCAGATGAAGAAGAGTAAGGGGGTGTTTACATGACCCCGGGCGACTTTCGCACCGGAGCGAGTTCACTCCGGTTCCCTTTCATGGCTCTACATTTGTTTACATGATACCACCACAAAATGTCATGGCGGCGCGACTTACCCCGGCGTAAGTTCACCCCGGTTGTTGTACCGGGGCGAGAATTTCACTCCGGCACGAAATCTCGCGACGGTATCATGTAAACGCGAAACGACCACACGTTTCGGTGTGAAATCGGTCTGCCGGTAAAACTGGAACGGGTAGCGCATGCGTAACGTTTGCGATTTTGAATCACACGCGTATTTTATCAACATGATGTGTACCTTCAAATAACGAGATATGAAATGACCCAGTCATCATGTAAACGCGATACGAATCAAAAGTCATCCCGGTAGGAAACTCCCGCCGGTGAGAGTTTTCTCATGTAAACACCCTCTAAAGGTTATGAGAATTACTAAATTGATTACCAACGGGAGGACGCTTTGATCTTAAACCAAATTCTCTCAACTATTCTTAAAAGAAATGCATGGAAATAAGTCTGGAGAATTTGTATGTGGATCTTGGGGCTTAAAGGGTTAAAGGAGCTGTGCAAATTCAAACAGTGGGAACCTCTACCAAACTGAGTGAAACTTAAAAATAACTGCCCAAAACATGAAAAGAAGGTATAAAAAACACAACAAATACAAAAGAAAGGCACAGATGGACAAACTTGAAGAAGATTGAAACGGATTGCAATTGTGGTTTTTGAAACCTTGTTAGGCTGACAGTTTTTCAAAGTTTTTCATTTTTGTTGTTTGTAACTTTTGACATACAGTGAAACCCGCGGATAAAGAACCTAGATTTTAAGAGCCTGTTAGGCTAAGATTGTCCATTTAGACCCCTTTTACATAAGAACCTGTTTTAGCCTACAATTTTGAAACAGGTTCTTATTTTGAGAAATTCAGTCAAACACGGAATACACAAATTTAATAGCGCAAGCTCTACCAGTTAGTAAAATGAAGATAAAACCATGGCAATGAGACAATTGACATGTAGATCAAAATATCCTTGTTCTTTTGTTCTGTTTAACTTGCAAAGCTTTGTATAAACTTTATAAAGTGCTTTAACATGCTTGGATTAAAGGGATTTTTATAACATATTATGCATGCAATACAAAGATAGGACCAAAATAGGCCACACCCACCAATGACCATCACTTTATCCACCTGTCTAAGAACGTGAGTAGCCTAATTTTCCAGTTACCACCATCTTTTTTATAAGAACCATCTTGGCCTAGCTTGGAAATACTTAGGTTCTTATACGCGGGTCAGTTTTATCTTACTGTAATGCGTGAAGGACAGGAAGCGGTGATTTGTCATTCATAAGTGATTTATCAAATTCCATAGCGAATAAGGATGCATAATTGGCCATTTCCGAGTTCCCCCGGGCCTCTGTTTCAAAACGAGGGTAGGTGCTCAGCCTTTGATATGGAAATCATTTTTCATCCTCATGCAAATAAAACTCATTTTCACAAGAAAGGTTATGCATCTAACCTCATTTTGAAAGTGAGGGTTTTTGGAACTCGGAAGAGGCCTATTGGCACAATTGAGAAAATAAACTTGAGAGCCGCCACGCAGCCCTTTAAAAATTCCTACGAAATGAGGGTTCTGCCTTTGCCCTTCAAACTGCTAGACCTTGTCTCGGATGACCACGCAAAATGGCGACCCCGTCTTGAGTTGTAGACGTAAAAATGGTGTCATCAATTAGTACCTTCGTACTAAATACACTGACACTCAAATCAAGTGCGTTTTTTGTTGGTACCTTTGGCGTTTCGTTTTGAAAATTTTGCCGCCAGCGCAATATCCCGGTTGTAATGCTTAAACCTTTAAATCCCAAGATTGACCAACATCAATTTTCTCATCACAACATCAGCAGATCATCAAGAGTACAGGTTATGAGAAATACTAAATTGATAACCAAAGGAGAAATGTTTTGCTCTTATATCAAGTTCCCTCAACTCATTCTTCAAAGCAATATTGTATCTGGATAATGGGGA